GCCTGGTATAGCTGTGTGTGAATGGGCACATTGTTCTCTTAATTAAAGCAACAAGGGCTTGCATTTGACAGCTCAATTATCTTAAGTGTGTACCAAGGAGTGCTGCAGGGAGAACGTGTTGGTAACTGCAGCCAGTGTTTTCTTCACCTGGCCAGGAGCCGTCTTCCAAAACGGGGTTTGATCCATGGGCCACGCTGTGACAGCTCCTGCACACAGACTTGTCTGTTGTTCTGCCCTAGGGCTTCACATTGCTACGCATTAGGCAGTATGGCTGTGCGAAACAGCACCGTTCTGTTTCGCCTTGAGTTTCAGCAGTTTGATGGAACAGCGTTCCATTTCAAATTTTATTTCAATTCAAAAAGCTGTTCCATCCATTGAAATGGAAAGGCTGTTTTGAGGCTGTTTCGAAGTTTTGCTGGGGATGGGGAGTCAGCCCAGCTGGACTACTACCCCATCCCTGGTGCTAGATTGCACGGCGGGGATGGCAAGGCAGCCCAGCTGGGATGCTTTTCCATCCTCTGTTCGATCTAGTACTGGGGATGGGGGATGGGGAGTCAACACAGCTGGGCTGAATCCCCATCCCCTGCCAGATCTTGCACTGGGGATGGGTAGTCAGCCCAGCTGGACTGACTTCCCATCCCGGGCCTATGGTTGAAACATTTCGACTTTCGAAACATTTCAACTAGCCTTGTTTTGTTTCGAGGCTATTTCAACAGCCTTTATTTCATTCCAATTTTGCTGTTTTGGCCTAGAAATTAGTTGAAACAGTGAAGGAATGAAACGGCTGGCGAAATTTCACACAGCCCTATTAGGCAGCACCTGAGTCCTTTCTGTATCCCATTTTTGCAGTGTCTGACTGCCTTCTGCATCAGGCAGACTGGTAATGATGAGACCCAAGTGGACTCCAGGGAGACTCTACCTCTTCCCTCTCGTGAGGTTATGGAAAACACTGTGTGGGGTAGGATATCCTGCTACGACAGTGCAGGACACAGTGCTGTGGGGGTCTTTTTACCTCTCCTCGCTCTTTCTGAAGTCACCTATTTGCTTCTCTCTGGTGATCCACCAGCAGCTTTGTCTTTCAGGTGCAAAGAGCAGATCCACATCAGAGCTTGGGTTAAAACACAGAGGGGAAGTTACAAGATCAGTGAGCAGGACCGTCCTGGAGGCAGATTCCTCAGACTGGGCTTGTATTCCTTTTCCTTACAGCCCAAGGCTCTTTCCTCATTGTTACAATTCCCAACATTTCTGATTCCATCGTTAGCTACTAATCAAATTAGTAGCTAATAATCCTGGTGTGGGGATTATTAGCTGGGTTTCTTCTATTGTAATGCGATGAATAAAATGGTTTTCCTGTTTATAGTTAGAGCCTTCTGCAAATATTGCCTAATTAATCCTTAATATCCCTCTGTGCCCCTGTATTATTACTCTTGTTGCTTATTACTCCATTTGCAAATGTGCCATTGGAGTTGCAGAAGTTGGGAACCCAGGAGTCTTGATTCTAAGGACCCCGATGTCTGAGCTGCCAGTTGCCAATTCCTCCGCCTTTGTGTCTACACTGGAGAAAACAAAATCAGCCAGAGGAACTAACCAAGCTTCACAGCCAATGGGCTGGCATGGTTAGGGCACACCGGTTTCTTAGACAATGGCACGCAAGGGAGTGATGGGGCCGTCATCATCTCTACCCACCTTTGACTTTGCAGTCTGAGTGACCTGGTGTCCATTTACAACTGGGGCGAAACTTTGGCGTAAGTTCAGAGCAGGGATTGAACTGCTGCTTCTGGAACTATAGCTTACGTGCTTTGCCCCTATTGTCAGGTGACTTATATATGTAGTTTAATTTTGGATTAGAAACTTCATTGCTGAACAACAAGAAAGGTTTCTATACCTCCCTGCCAGCCATCTGACCTCAACAGGGAAGTAATTTTGCTTGATCTGCGCAACAAAGAGCAACCCCACAAAGATACTCTCATGGACCCAGAGGAACAGCTTCAGCTTCCTCTGTGCAAAAATGAAGTTTATTTCCTACATATGGGGACTTTTCACCCTCTTTAACTTTCCCTGAGCCTGATGAAGTGCGTGTGAGCCTGAAAGCTTGCAGAAAACAATTTTTTTTTTTTTTTTGCAATGTCTCCGTTGGTCTAATAAAAGGTTTCATCTCTGAACCAAGGGTTCTAGATTTTTACATTTCATATGTAGGGCATTACTGGAGCCCATAACAGGGTTCCCATTTTGATGCTCTTGGATCATATCTCAGATTTGGTTCATCAGTCCGGTGTGCATTTTATCAAGCAGCAACCTCTTTTGGGACTCACTCCTGTGCGTTGGCTTCCGTCAAAGAGGAGGGTCTTTGGATTGTGGAAGTTGGAAAGTGCTCCGGGGGGTATTGTGGTGCTGTTAGTGTGTGAATTTTAGGACACTTAAGTCTGTTCAGCTGCTTGTAGAAGCATGGACATGCCTAGATAATAGTGGGGAGAGTGGTTAGAGCGCTGACTCTGCCCTTTTCTTTCCTTCCTCTGCTCTACTGCTTACTCCGTGACATTGAGTCGGGTATTTAGCTGTGCCAAATTAGGCATCTAACTCCAGTTTGGGTACCTAGATGAGTGGCTTGATTTCTTAATCAAGGGGACTGAGGTCTGTGGTGTTCGGCACCTCTGAAGATCAGCCCACGCGGTCAGATGCAAAATAGGCATCGAGATGCCCACTTTTAGGCACCTGAGTTTGAGTAATCTGGCCTTGCCGCTCCGTGTTTCAGTTTCCTCACCTCTAAAATGGGGATAATATTTCAGGACATGGCGACTGGGACTTTTGAGCATCTGCATTGATTAACACCGGTTCAGTGCTCTGGGATCTGTGGATGGGAAGTGCCGGGCCATCGTGGAGCATTATTGTGATATCCTCTGAGACCTTTCCATGAAACCAGTGGTGGTTGTCATTATAATAAAGAGGAGACTAAAGGAAGCTAAAGAAATAATGATCATGCTTCCTTTCTAGCTATGCTTTGAAAGGGCAAATGCAGTGAGTGATAATGGTTTAATGAGGAAGGGTTGTTAGGGCATCCAGCCTGCATCTTTGTAAGTGCAAGGCATTTTGGGAGATCTGAAAGTGATGATGGGAACAAAACCAAACTGGCCCTGTGGGAATATTAAACCATTATTTGCATTTTGTTTGAACACTGACTGAAATTAGTGATCTTTTCCACTGCCTGATGTTCGGTACAGGGATCAGTGTATGTCTCCCTTGTATAACCGTGGATCTACCTTGTTCAGAGCCTCAGCACAGCTGCCGAAGGTTAGGCCGAAGCAGTACCTCTGCTGTCATACATTTCCATTACAAACTATTTGGAGTGCAGTGGTGGCTGAAAAGTCCTGCTCCCTTGACTTTCCAATGTGCATGTTTCCCTGGAGAGTAGGATTATTTGCCCCCGGATTATCCATCTGGCTGCTTTAGTTTCAAGCTTCGCTTGGGGAGAGAAGTCCTTCAGCGATCAATGTGGTCGTTACCTAGAAAAATTCGTATAGATGAGCTAAGCCACAGAAAGTGGCCTCTGATTAACACGTCAAATGCTTCAGGACAGCAGGTGTCCAGGTTTTGGGGGCTGGCTTGGCTCATTTTATGATAAGACCAACTTGCAGAAATAGAGATTTGCACTTGGAAGAGCAGCACAAGATGTAATAGCTTCTCGTTAATATGAACTGTATCTCCCGTCTTATGGATTCCCCCATCGATTGACACCAGAGCCAGCACTCAGAAGTTATTTTTTTGCTGCCTTGCAAAAGGCAAAGCACACCAGCATCATCCATTATGATTTTGGATGCCTTATTACTAGGGACTCGGTGAAAAATGGGCTGGGTTGGGCGGGGGCAGACTTTGGATCGGTCTCTGCCACCAGTGGGAATCGATAGCAGCTCTGTTATCTTTTTTGGGGCTATGGTAGTGGGATCCCAGGAGCATGGCCTAAGCCATTCCAGCAACAGATGTGTGGGGATCAGACATCTGGGCACAGAAAGCACTGCTACACTCTCCCTACCCAGACAGGTGCCGTGGTAATGAAAAACCGAGCCGCAAGTAGCATTTGAAGGAGTTTCTATGCCATTCCTAAATATTTGCCATTCAAATAAATAATGAGGAGAATGCAAGGCAAGAGTCAGGGCATAACTGCAAGGGCCACCCCCAGTCCTCATGGGGCAAAGCATATGGTTATCCTCGCACCACAGGGGCAGGAGGTGATTTCTCCCCAACGGGGTAGAGTGAGGAGCCCTTTTGAGGATTTTGCCTCTTTCCCTAAGAGCGCCAGGCAGTGGTGGCAGGACGCCAGACTAGATGGTATCCACTCGAGAAACCCCTGTCCTCTTCTGCGGGAGGAGTGGAGGGTGACCGCACGGAGCTGAAACAACCCGGCGGGGTGGGGGGAGGAGAAAACGGCAGCGAGCCCTCTGTAGTGGAAGCAGCACTTTTTCTGCCAGTCACGAATGGGCCATGCCACCCCCAGATCATCTGCTGCATCTCGTGGGATCAGCCAGAACAGGGGCCTGGATGTCTCTAGTGAAGAACAATTAAGTGCCTGGCACAGATTTGCAGGCGGGTGACAAAGCTCTGGAGGTGCCAGGATGAGTCGATTTGATTGAGACGTGAGCTCAGCCGCTGCAACTCATCTCTCCAGAGAGAAAAACAAGCAGGGTTGCAGTTGGGACTCCTCTGGGTGTTTGTTTTAAACGAAGGCCGTCTCCTTTGTTACGAGGATACCCCAGGGCACTCGCGGGAGTAGGCCCTGTACCCACATCAACCCTGGGAACCAGCTGGGTGCAATGCCCCTTAAGTCATCAGCTCTCATTACATCTCGGAGAGTGACAGACAGTGGTTAGCGATGCACGGATGCTGGGGTTGAAGCACAGGAGTGTGCAAACCATAGTGTCAGGCCCCCTGTAGTTTCCCTTCCCACGTTCTGAGAATTGATGTATATTCCTTGTGTCTTTTTTTTGTTTTTTTGTTTTTCTCTGCAGGTCAACGGACTACGGCACGACCTACGAGAAGCTAAATGACAAAGTGGGTTTGAAAACTGTGCTCAGCTATCTTTATGTCAGTCCAACTAACAAGAGGAAGGTAAGGGAGAGCCATGGAGGCGGTAGCTATGGAAACAAAATTACCATGCTTGACTTGTTCTTTTAAAGAATTATGATCCTCAAGCGAAATCCAGCCGTAACTCATGAGAAACTCCAGGACCCCAATGTCATCTAATAATTTACACTGGTGGAGTTAAGGCTGGAATAAGCAAGATGACTCAAACCTTTAACTTCCGGCTGCATGAATCTAGCGTGGCGTTTGAGACGTAAAGGAGCTGATTTTATTTGCTTCCGACTCTCGGTGGCATTCGTGCAGAAGTGATGGTGACGTGCCCCTCCTGCTTTTACGCTCGCTTCCCTGCTTCCCTCCCCTGTCTTTTTATTATTAGAAATACGGGGTAAGAGAGATGCTGTTTCCACCGCCCCACCTCCCCTTTTAACGGCGCTGCTTCTGATGATTTCTGGGGGTTGGAAATAAGCCTGCAGCTGGCATTTCGGGCTGGTTACATCACGTAAGGGGGCTGGCGGGGGAACATGTGGCTGGACGTGGAGCGGTGGGTGGGAACCTTTTGCTTGGCGTGGGAGCCCGCATGATGTCATAGCGCTCTGCTCAGGCTTCCCACATGATGCAATTAGAGCCGGACCGCGGAGCCAGCATGCCTGCTTGCTGCTTTCTGCTTTCGAGTTATGATGTTGTTCCAAGGAAGTAGTCGGGCCTGCTTGCTTGTTTGCTACCCCTGTTAATCAGAGAGTGATTTTAGCTGCGGCAGACAGCTAAATGCTGGTTTTGGTGCCGTGTGGCAGGAAGGCCGGGAGACTATTACGCTTGATTATTTTCAAACTGCCTATCTCCTGTCTCCCTCAATAGCCTTCCAAAGTTGTATTTTATTATTATTATTATTACTATTTTCTTCCATCGCTGGTCAGGCCACAGAGGTTACAGGACTGATGTTTTTTTCTTTGTCTGGAACCTAAGGGCAGGCACATTTCTATAGCAATCAGCCAGAAGTACAATGTCTATGTATGTATGTGTCCGTGTGGGGTGGCTTTTATATTTTTCTAGGTTCAGGCTGAATTCTCTTGAAAGCCATTGTGATCTGGCTGCTATTCTGAGCAAGAAGCAATGACTGTTTTGTTTTGTTTTGTTTTGTTTTTTCATAAGCTCTTCCGGCCCTAAAATTCATGGATCTGTGGATGCAAGTTGAAGAGCTAATTCCTCTTCAGTTTGTGTGACTCCACCAAGAGAGATTTCCCATTGCATGATCAGAATAAATTCTCCTTGGCCGCTCATGGCATTGGGACACGGCTCTACTTTATAATACTGAGATTTCCTCTTTTTGTGGCACCGGCTACACCATCCTCCAGCATAGTGGGGTTGAACAGCTGTAACTTTCAATCTGTTTTGCACGAGTTTAAAGTCCGTTTAGCTCTCATGTCTTGGTGCAGGAGTGGACAGACATAAGTTAAATCAGAACAGGGGAAGCACTGCAAGCCCCTTTTCTCCTTTTAAAATGGTTTAGAGTTACATTGGTCCACAGCTAAAGACATTCAGATTTGCATGTGTGCGAGTGTAGGTATGCGCCAACACACAGGTATGTATGCATGTGTGCGTGAATGCAGGCACATGCCAACACACGTATGTATCTGTGTGCGAATGCAGGCACATACCAACACACAGGTATGTATGCATGTGTGTGCGAATGCAGGCACGCACCAACACACAGGTATGTATGCATGTGTGTGCGAATGCAGGCACATGCTGTCACACACATGTATGCATGCATGTGTGAATGCAGGCATGCACCAACACGTATGTATGCATGCATGTGCGAATGCAGGCACGTGCAAACACATGTATGTATGTGTATGCGAATGCAGGCATGTGCCAGTACACGTGTATGTATGCATGCAGGTGTGAATGCAGGCACGTGCCAACACACACATGTATGCATGCATGTGCAAATGCAGGCACATGCCAACACATGTACGTACATGTGTGTGCAAATGCAGGTACGTGCCAATATACATGTATGTATGCATGCGGGTGCGAATGCAGGCACATGCCAACACATGCATATGTGTGTGTGTTGACTGTCAGGAGGTGAGATGTTTCTTGTCTTGTGTTTCAGTGTCTCCCCAAGCCTGAAGCCTCCAGCTCAGTCTTGATCAGTTAGCAGGGTGTTGCTAACACTGTCTGCTCATTAGTGCTTAGAGGATTAGCAGTTACTTGGAGGAGGAGAAAAGTGTTACATACATCCATTCCTAATTGATTTACTAGTGAGAAGGATAATTACTTCTCAGCTACCCTGCAGAACTACAGTGGGAATTACCTGTCAGATTCCTTTGAAGCCCGCAAATGCCTCTCTTCAGCTGTTAAATCAGAATTACACATTCAGCCAAATGCCAGTTACATAAACGTAATATACCTGAATCACAGCACAACCCTGGGCTCAATTAAAGTACAAGGCACAAGGATTTAAGCCTTGTTTCTTCTTCCCAAGCTTTTGAGGCATTGTGACAATCCCATTGCATTATTTGTTGTGTGCAGACCTGTTATGCTGATTCATCAGCATCAGGATGCCCCCTGCCTCTATAATAGCAATGCAGTATAAGCCTCTGAAGAGGTCTGCTGTTAAGGTGAGCAGCCACTTTTATCATGCAAATGACACTAGCCGCTGGCTGAATCCTATTTATTTCAATATTAAAGATACCGTTTGTGCCAACTATCTGATTTCTATGCAATTAAACATCTCCGCTAATTGGTGTGGAACAGCCCGCTTTCAGCTGTTTGATCCTTCTTAAGGGCCTTCCCTGGTTACTTAGGGTGTGCACTCAGCTGTTTATACTTCATTAAGGCTCTTTACACTGCTGCTGGGGGGGCGGGGCCCTGGCCCATGTGACATTTATGACATAATTAACATGTAAATTGTGCCATAAATAGTAGCCCTGCCTCATACTCAGCCAATTTAAGGCACAATAAAGCAAGAAACCAGCCACAAGTGTGGTCCACATATAAAGCTTTTCACCAATACATGTTGCACTGGAATTTCAGATCTAGAGAAGCATTTAGCCCACTTTGGTTTGGGCCCCTTCAGCATTTTTCATCCACAGAGCTGATTAGGAGGCAAGTAGCATTGTCTCTACTTTGCAGGTGGGCAGACAGAGGCCCAGAGTGGGGTGGTATCTTTCCCCTACTTCCCCAAGTAAATAAGCGTTCATCTGCCAGTGGCCTCCACATAGATGGCAAGAATGATCATGGACTCCTCTGTTGCATTCTTGGGGCTCTGTTCTGCTCACAATATGCTATTAGGACTTGATTTCTTTGCCTCAGTGGTTTCTGTCTGCAAAGCCGGGAATAATAAGCTTTACCGTACATGCTTTCCAGGGGGCAGGAGCACAGGAGTGAGCTTATGCTTGCACAATTCCCCATACATGTTGAAGACTTCCAGCATCATGTCTGCGGAATAAATGCTCTTCCATTGTGTAAATAAAGGGAAGCCCCTCTGTCTTTATTTGTTTCATGCCGAGAGGGTGCCACCTTAAATCGTCCCTGCTTGTGCTACAGAGGTGCACACTCGAGTCAGAGTGATTAAGTGTCTTGCCCAAGCCCATGCACTGTGCCCCAGTGACTAGATGTCAGCACAGCTCGCTGCTGTGCCTGCTACCCCAGAGGACTTGGATGTGGAGAGACATTGGGACATATGTTTAAGCAATGCAGCCTGTGGTTCCTCAGTGGCATCACCAAAGAGCTGCAATTCCCTGCAGGTGTTTTTTAAAACAACAAGGGGTAGCAGCCAGGAACTACATCTATTCCTTGAGCACTGACTTTCTCTTTGCTGCCTCTGTAAAGTGGGACTAACAGTCCTTACTTTGCTGAGAGAGGCTCTGCATGGATAAATTAATTAGTGTTTTCACAATGCTTTGAGACTGAGACAATGGTACCTCCATTATTCAGTTTGGAGAAGAGAAGACTGAATGGTGAGATGATAACAGTCTTCAAGTACCTGAAGGGTGATTATAGAGAGGATGGAGATGGGCTTTTCTTCGTGGCGGTAGGGGACAGGATTAGGATCAATGGTCTCAAGCTGCAGCAGGGGAAATTGAGGTTGGAGATTAGGAGGAGCTTTCTGACTATGAGGGAGCTCAAGCATGGTGCCAGCTGCCTAGAGAAATTGCGGGATTTCCATCCCTGGAAATTTTGAAGAGCAGGTTGGACTGGTGCTTGGCTGGGCTGGGCTGGTTATTCAGGGACATCCTGCCTTGATCAGGGGGCTGGACTAGACCAGCATTTCTCAACCCGTGGGTCCCCAGAATATATGAAAGGATTGCAAACATTTTTTTTTTAAATGGATTCTCCTTTAAAGAAGACAAATGTGGGAAACCGTGGCTTTTCCCTTGCAGACTGGCAGTTTCAGCCTGAGAGGGGCTGCTTGGGGCCTTCCGTGCCCCACCTACTGGGGGACTGGGGTTTGGGGATGGAGGGCACTGGACCAGGACCAGCCATCGACGTTTACAAATGGGTCCAGGTACAAAAATGGTTGATGTCTAGTCCAGCAGTTAACCTTGTGAGGTCCCTTCCAGATCTACTCCTATGATCCTGTAACTGCACAAGCCCTGGCTGGATGGAGAACCGGATGGCGGTTGCACCCTGGGTGCTGTACTGGTGTGAGCACAGAGTACATCTTCTCTTGCTCAGTTAGCAGGGACTTGTACGCCTTGCTGCGGGAGATCGGAGTTTGCTTCTCGTTATCAACGTGAAACTTCAAGCCATCATGCTGTGTAGCACATGGGCGCCTGTGAAATCCTCAGTGGCTTTCTTCTGCAAGGATTATTTCCACGACAGGAAGTCAAAGCGCCTGTTGCTGTGAAATTTCCACCCCCCCAGTTAGAGGCTTTAATCAGCAGCGTGTCCCTGTGTCTCTCACTCTGGTTTGCATGCTCACTCATTCTCCACGTGCGTGAAAGCTTCTGCAAGAAAATATCTGGCTCAGCCCAGCATCATACAGGTTGAAACAGGGCTTACGGCTCCGGCTTGCAGGA